CAAGTAACACCAGAATTACCATATTGTTTGTATACAGCGCAGGATCTTAAAGGTACAGCGCTCCCCTTGGCCTCTGCTTGGAAGCCCGGGAATTTTGGTTTCTTTCGGGGGGCAATGGCGAGGTCAGGAGTAATACCCACCGAACGAGACCAACTGATTCACACCCCCCACCCCCGCTCCCCCCACAGACAGAGCTTGACATCCCTACCCAGCATTCCTCAAAGCAGACGCTTTTGGCAGTGGCTCGCTCGGAAGCGAATGGGGAGCCAGGGTCCCAGCTGCTGTCAGAACCGCGAAGGCCCTCCGACCTCAAAGATGCCGCACACAACGCTGTGCTCGTACATGCCCTGAGCCCCCGTATCTACACCTTCCTTCGCTGGTTTGCACAGAGGCTCCTCAAGTTGAAATGTCGACCCACCAACATGCACCATACATGCTCATCCGTACAAAGCTCAGCATATAGAGTCTTAGAGTAACACAGCATGGAAACAGGCCCTTCGGCCCAAACTGGTCCATGCTGATCGTGGTACCCCACTCAGCTCGTTCCAATTACCCGCATTTGGTCCATATCCCTCTAAACCCTTCGCAACTATGTACCTATCCAAATGTTTTTTTAAACATTGCCAATATACCTACCTCAACCGGTCTCTCTGGCAGCTTATTCCATCACTCCCTGTTTGAAGAAGTCGCCCCGCAGTGTCCTTCTTAAATCCTTCCCCCTCTCACCTTAAATCTATGCCCTTCGGTTTTCAATTCCCCATCCCTGGGAAAAAGACAATATGCATTCATCCTATCTATGCCCTTCGTGATTTTATGCACCACAGAAAACAAACATACATCAAGGGAGCCACTGAACAGTGTATAATTTGGAGGGGTCAGAATGCCTTCATAGCATCTCTACAGCGTGGAAGCAGGCCGTTTGGTCCATCCAGTCTGCACGGCTCCTCGAAAGAGTATCTCACCCTCTACCTGTAACCCTGCATTCCCCATGGCTATCCCAACCAGCCTGCACATCCATTGACACTATGGGGCAATTTCCCATGGCCAATCCACCCTAACCTACACCTTCCTGGGCACTATGGGTAATTTAGCACGGCCAATCCACCCTAACCTACACCTTCCTGGGCACTATGGGTAATTTAGCATGGCCAATCCACCCTAACCTACACCTTCCTGGGCACTATGGGTAATTTAGCACGGCCAATCCACCCTAACCTACACCTTCCTGGGCAATATGGGTAATTTAGCACGGCCAATCCACCCTAACCTGCACCTTCCTGGGCACTATGGGTAATTTAGCACGGCCAATCCACCCTAACCTACACCTTCCTGGGCACTATGGGTAATTTAGCACGGCCAATCCACCCTAACCTACACGTCCCTGGGCACTATGGGTAATTTAGCACGGCCAATCTACCTTAACCCACACATCCCTGGGCACTATGGGTAATTTAGCACGGCCAATCCACCCAAACCTGCACGTCCCTGGGCACTATGGGTAATTTAGCACGGCCAATCCACCCCTAACCTGCACATCCCTGGGCACTATGGGTAATTTAGCATGGCCAATCCACCCTAACCTGCACATCCCTGGGCACTATGGGTAATTTGGAACGGCCAATCCACCCTAACCTGCACATCTTTGGACTGTGGGAGGAAACCGGAGCACCCAGAAGGGTAGAATGGGCAAACAAACTCGACACGAACAGTCGCCCTGAGGCTGGGATCGAACCCTGGTCCCTGGCACCGGGAGGCAGCATAGTAGAATTCACACACGCACACACTCTATTCTGACTTGAAATGGTGTCATCGTACCTTCACTAGCGTGGAATTCTACAGTGAGGAAGAGACCCTTTGGTCCATCAAGTCTATTCTGACAAACCTACTTTAAATCTATATCTGGTCTCACTTTCCCACACTCGGCCCAAAGCCTTGAACGCTAGGCCATTCCAAGTTCTCGTCCACGTATTTTTTTAAATGTTGTGATGTTTCCCGCTTCAACTACCTTCCCAGGCAGGGAATTCCAGACCCCCACACCCGCTCTGGGTGAAAACTCATTTCCTCAAAACCCCCCTAAACCTCCTGCCTTTCAAAATGATGCCTTCTGTCCAATGCCCTTTGTGCTCGTACATGCCCACTCCCCACACCTCCAGCCTTCTTGACTCATGTCGCTTTTGTGCTGTTAGACGGCAAGATGTTATCGGGCTCCCGAGCTCCAGGGTAAGGTGCCAAGTGCGGCTCCCGAACTGCGGGCCTACCTCAGGCCTCAGGCCTTAGGCCTCAGGCTGTTCGCCACTCGGCCTTTCCGCCTCCATCTGGAATCTCCGTCGGCCGGATCACAGGAAGGGCTTACGGTTTAGATGTCCTCTTCTTCCGGCTGTAGCCATCTCCTTCGAAAACCGCCCATCCCAACGTCACTAGCCCACCCCCAACCCTACTCCCCCCCTCCCCCCAAGCACATCTCCCACTTCAGAGACCTCCGCTACCCCTTTATTAGGGCTTGCGGCCTAGTCTCCTGATGGATCCTTTCTGACAACCTCTGTTAATAAAAGGGGAAGCCCAGATTGGGGGGAATGCTAACAAAACCTGGCAATTGGAAACAAAAACGTGGGTGGAGGTGGGGGCTTATTATGGTTCAAAACAATGGACAACGTCGCATAGCTACCAGGGATGGTAGCTCAAGGATCCTGGGAGCGCAGTTTTACCAAGTGACGCTCAGCTCGCCCTCAGAATTTTACCTCAAAATGCAAAGTTATTTCTCAGATGGAGCACGCGGACTGCATATTTGACGACGTCTACAGAGAGAGGTCAAGCTGAGGAGGTGATGGCCCAATGGCATTATTGCTGGACTATTAGCCCAGGGAAACCCCGGTTAATTCTGGGGGAACCTGGGTAGGAATCCTGCCACAGCAGATGGTGGAATCTGAATTCGATAAGGAATCTGGAATTAAGAGTCGAACGATGACCATGAATCCATTGTCGGTTGTTGGGAAATCCCATCTGGTTCACTAACGTCTTTTAGGGAAGGAAATCTGCCATCCTTACCTGGTCTGGGCCTACACATGACTCCAGACCTGCACAGCAATGCGGTTCACTCTTAACTTGGCCCTCTGGGCAATTAGGGATGGGCAATAAATGCTGCCTGGCCTGCGATGCCCTCATCCCGTGAGTGAATACATTAAAAACAAAAGGGTTACCCTTTCTTTGGAGGAAATGGGGATTTAGGAGAAGTGGTAAAGAAACGAACGATGGATGGGGACTTAGCCCAGAGACAGAGAGAGAAAGACAAAGGGATGGATAATGGCTAAGCCAGGGAGAAAGAAACACTGAGAATAGGGACTGTTAGTTGGTGAAAATGAGTCGGTATGGACGAGTTGGGCCGAAGGACCTGTTTGCGTGCCAAAGGTGTCCAAAATCATTCAACTTAACAATGAATCCCAAAGGGTCCCCAGGCGGAAAATGAGGTGCTGTTTCTCCCAGCTTGCGCTGAGCTTCGCCGGAACACTGCGGCAGGCCCGAGATAGGGAACAGGGTCGGGGTTTGGCAACTGGAAGCTCAGGGTCATAAAATGAAGGAGCTGCTCATCGACTGCAGGAAGCAGAATGGAGCACACACCCCTGTCTGTATCAACGGTGCTGAGGTGGTCCAGAGCTTCCAGTTCCTGGGAATAAATATCACCAACGCTCCGTCCTGGTCCATCCACATCGACTCTCGGGTCAAGAAAGCACATGGACGCCTCTACTCCCTCAGGAGGCTAAAGAAATTCAGCATGTCCTCAATGACTCCTACCAGTTTTTATCGATGCACCATAGAAAGCATCCTGTGCTGATGCATCGCAGCGAGGTACGGCTACTGCTCTGCCCAACGCCGCGAGAAATTACAGAGAGTTGCGAACACAGCCCAGTCCCTCACACAAACCGTTTACTGCCTCGGGAGAGCAGCCAACACCCCGTCCCACCCCGGTTATACTCTCTTCCACCCTCTTCCATCAGGCGGAAGATACAAAACTTTGAAAACACGCATCATCAGATTCAAGAACAGCTTCTTCCCCGCTGTTATCAGATTTATGAATGGACCCCTCATATATTAGAGTAGATCTTTCTCTATAACCTTCTCTGTAGCTGTGACACTATATTCTGCATGCTCTTCTAGCACCCTGATGCACTTATGTAAGGGATGGTTGTCTGGATAGCACGCACAGCAATACTTTTCACTCTATCTCCGTACACTTAATGGTAAGGTCCTGGGGAGTGTTGCTGAACAGTGAGACCTTGGGGTGCAGGTTCATAGTTCCTTGAAAGTGGAGTTGCAGGTAGACAGGGCGGTGAAGAAGGTGTTTGGTACACTTGCCTTTACTGGTCAGTGCATTGAGTATAGGAGTTGGGAGGGTCTTGTTGCGGCTGTACAGGACATTGGTTAGGGCCACTTTTAGAAAACTGCGTTCAATTCTGGCCTCCCTGCTACAGGAAGGATGTTGTGAAACTTGAAAGGGTTCAGAAAAGATTTACAAGGATGTTGGAGGATTTGAGCTATAGGGAGAGGCTGAATAACCTGGGGCTATTTTTCTGGAGCATCAGAGGCTGAGGGGGAACCTTATAGAGGTTTATAAAATCATGAGGGGCATGGACAGGCTGAATAGACAAGGTATTTTTCCTCAGGATAGGGGAGTCCAAAACTAGAGGGGCATAGGTTTAAGGTAAGAGGGGAAAGATTTAAAAGGGAGCAAGGGGTAACATTTTCACACAGAGGGTGGTGCGTGTATGGAATGAGCTGCCAGAGGAAGTGGTGGAGGCTGGTACAATGATAACATTTAAAAGGCATCTGGATAGGTACATGAATAGGAAGGGTTTAGAGGGATAGGGGCCAAATGCTGGAAACGGGACCAGATTAATTTAGGATATGCAATCAGCATGGACAAGGTGGGCCGAAGGGTCTGTTTCCGTGCCGTACGACTCGATGGCTCTACGGGATAATCGCAAAATCAAGTGAAATCAAAGTGGCGTAGCGGTCCGGCCAGCCTGTCATTCAGGCGCAAACACAACTGATCTTTGCCCACCTCCCGAAGCCCCTCTGCGGAAAATGTCTCGTCTGCCTCAGCATTTGATCTATCCGACGATCGAGCATCCTTGCTTTCGTGTGCCAGGGCGTTTCCAAGGATCCACAGGCCCAAGCACTTCCTGTCGTTCGATGTGGCTTTTGACGGTCAGTCGGGAACGTACGTGGGAGTTGGCTTTGACGATGGCGGCCATGATTAGCCATTCCAAGGAAGGTGATGTTAGTCCATGCGCCCATACTCCCCAGGGGTACATGGGGAACCCATCTCAAACGGCATTGATGCGGCCGCTCAAGGGTCTTGAAGTGGGCGTCTATGCCTGTTCCGGATTTTGGGATGTTACAGAAGAGTTGGAAAGACAGCTGCCTCTTTACTCAAAGGATCTTGGTCATTGTAGCCTCCCAACCCAAAATGCATTGCTCGCAGATCAGGTGCGATGTGGAATCTCAGCCTTAGGTTAGCTCCCCAAGGCGAGGGGAAAATGCTCCAGGCTTCAGGAAGATTTCTCCGCCAATCCGAATGCTGGGATGGAACAGGACGGCACCCGGAATGGGATTGGGCAAGGATCTTGAGTCCTCTTGAGGGGATTGAGAGCGATTCGCCTCCACAGACAGCACCTCACAGAGGCCAATCTCGTGAAGAGGTTTTTATTTTAATTCAATCACGGGATGAGGGCTCAACCAGAATTAATTGCCCATCCCTACTTGCCCAGAGGGCAATTAAGAATCCATTGGGTCTGGAGTCACGTGTAGGCCAGGCCAGGTAAGGTATGGCAAATTCCCTTCCCTGAAGGGCATTAGTGAACCAGAGTTTTCCTGAAAATTGACAATGGGTTCACGGTCACCATTAATACTAGATTATTATTGAACTCAAATTCCCACCATCTGCCGTGGCGGGATTCGAACCCAGGTTCCCCCAGAACATTGCCTGGGTCTATGGGTCAACAACAGAAGTTGCTGGAAAAGCTCAGTTTTATTTTCCCCCCCGATTTACAACATCCGCAGTTCTTTCGGTTTTTTATTTTCTACAGATTAAAACAGTCCGGCGATAGCACCACTAGGCCGTCACCTCCCCTTTTACACCCGTGCTGCATCCAACACCAAACTGGGGCTGGGGGTGGGGGGTGAATGCTAATGGCCCATGTTGATACCATTTTACACCAACAAACCTGCAGAAATATAGAGAACAGGGCCCAATACAAAGCTGAATGCCACCACCATGTGGCTAAACTATAAAATACAGCACATTATGAGAGAGAGAGTGTACGTGAGTGTGTGTGAGAGAGTGAGAGAGAGAGTGTGTGTGAGTGTGTGTGTTTGTCAGAGAGTGTGTGTGTGAGTGTAAGTGTGTGTGTGTGAGAGTGTATGTGTATTTGTCAGAGAGTGTGTGAGAGAGAGAGAGAGTGTGTGAGTTTGTCAGAGAGAGAGTGTGTGAGTGTGTGTGTGTGAGTGTGTGTGTGAATGAGTGTGTGTGTATCTGTGTGAGTGTGTGTGTATCTATGTATGAGTGTGTGTCTGTCTGTCTGTCTGAGAGTGTGTGAGTGAGTGTAAGTACCTGTGTGTGTGTGTGTGTGTGTTAGTGTCTTGTCTGTGAGTGTGTGAGTGAGTGTGTGTAAGTACCTGTGTGTGTGTGTGTGTGTGTGTGTGTGTGTTAGTGTCTTGTCTGTGAGTGTGTGAGTGAGTGTGTGTAAGTACCTGTGTGTGTGTGTGTGTGTTAGTGTCTTGTCTGTGAGTGTGTGAGTGATTGTGTGTAAGTACCTGTGTGTGTGTGTGTGTGTTAGTGTCTTGTCTGTGAGTGTGTGAGTGTGTGTAAGTACCTGTGTGTGTGTGTGTGTGTCACCTCTGTGGAAAGGTCGCTACCTAGTGGTGAAGTCAAATATTACAGGCACGCCACTCAGTCACAGCACCAGAAGGACACTGGGATGGTCCTATTTCTCCAGCTGTTTCTTTTTCCCACACAAACCCTGCAACCATTTCCCCCCAGTCCGGAGGACAGGATGTTGGCGGGAATGGAAGGTTTGAGTTATAAGGACAAGAAAAGATCTTTAGGCTGTGAGGCTAGGGTTGCTTTGAAAACAGTAAGAATCCTCACAATCGGGAAACCTTGCGTCTTTTTTAATAAATATCTGTTCGGGAGGGCGACAGTGAAGGAAGGGCTCAGAAGAGATTTACCAGGATGTTGCCGGGAATGGAGGGTTTGAGTTTCAGGAAAGGCTGGGACTTTTTTCACTGGAGCATAGGAAGTTGAGGGGTGACTTGAAAGAGGTTTGTAAAATCATGACGGGCACAGATAAGGTGAATGGCAGGT